GCAGCGTATGCACAACATCAGAGCTCGCTGGGGGAGCCAGAGAGGTTCATCACCACCCTGTTGGGGAGGTCTCTCCTTAGCATTGTTCCAACGTTCGAATCGTCCAATCAGCACGCGGAGAAGCGGGTCCCGTGACTTGCGATCAAAAGAAATGAAGATTATAATTTCGGCCATTCTAATGTGGATAGAGATTGCCTCTGAGTAATCGTGCGTCGGGTGAAAATGACTCGTATGATGTTCTGTCACATCTTCTTCCGTCGGAGAAAGTGCTGCAGGTCCGACGGAACACGTTCCGGTGGCGCTGGCGGCTGCAATTACAGGAACGGGATGTGTCTCCTCACAACGAGCCAAACAAACCGAGAAACAAACCGACAACAGTGGTCGCGTGCTTTTTTGAAGCTAACACGCACGCCCTATCATCATTGTTGACGAAGACCATCTAGCTGTAATCGCTGTCGACGCTCCGCGCGCGTGATTTTCGTCGCGAACATACAAATTGAAACTAGCTCGCTCTTAACGCCAACTGTATAGGCGACAAGGAGAACGACGCGGGCAACGGGAGCATTCGAGCCCTCTCGTTCAGATATTCTCCTCGGGCTTCGGACTCGGATTGACGGATTCTCGAGACGAGAACTTGACCTACGAGCTTCCGTACCAGGCATCCGTCTCGGAATTATCCAAGAGAGAAATGAAAGCGTTCCCCGACTCCGATTGAATATTCTTATGGAGATGAAAATTCCGCGCGGTTAGGCAGCACTCCGTAAGTTTACCCTTAGCGTTGAGCTTTCGGACCTCCGAGCATGCCTGCCGGCGCTGTATCGGTTTCCCACGAACTTTTTCCTAACGACTTCCTTACGCGCCGCCGTCTCGAACGCTCGTCGGCTCTATCGGCGCACGCGAGTTACGGCGCAGCCATGCATCGCTATATATTCTCCGATCTTCAGAAAACGAGGCGGTCTCTGCGACAGCGTTGAATTCGGCAAGCGATAAAATTTCAGTGGCTGAGCGGACGTTGTCGGTGACGTTTCCGACGGCTGGACAGCGCGTCCTTTGCTTCTCTCGCTTGTTCGCTTTCGGCATTCCAGTCTTAGCATGCGGGAGCGGTCGGCGACGCGGAGCTCTGCGTCGAGGAGTAAGAGAAGGGAAACCGGAATCTGGAGGCTTTGTACGAACCGTCCGAATGCCCGACCGACCAAGAGACTAGTCCAGGCCGTTAGGCCGCTGCCGCCACCGATGATTCGGTCGCCACAGGGATCGTTGTCGGTCTCTCCGAATCCGTCCGTTGGCGGGCCAAGATGCGCGTTTTTTTTTCTCTCTAGTCCGTCTCGGCTCATTTTGCTCTTTCAGAGGCTCGTGGAGAACGGCGTCTGTTCCCACGCGCGTTCTGTCTGCCTAGCGACTTGCTCGCAGCCTCCGTCTCAGTGAGATGTGGCTCTAGAAAAACGAGGACAGGAGCAGTAGGCAAGTGAGCCCACGTGCCAGACATGAAAGAAAGTAATGGGGAAGGATTGTGCACTCAGCTTTAATTATCGAGAACGGAAAGCGGTGGCCTACTTTCTAGATTTTCGAGCGTACCGAACGCGACACCGCGCTACGACCTTAGACCGAAGAGTGCCTGCAGCACGTCGGTATATTGGTGCGGTCAAATGCTTGGTCGGACGGTCTCCGCTTGCAGCGCAGTCCCATTCTGCTTCGACTCGGGTAATCCATGAACAACGCCGAGGAGAATCCTCGATCGAAAATTTGCGGAATTAGAGAAATGGATGAGCTCGACATGGTCAAGGTTCTCAGCATGAGAGGCTCCCGTATTCCGAAATGGATCTTATTTATTCTCTTTCCGCAATCGCATTGGCTGCTGGTTAACGATGCGGACGACACGCGAGGCGATGGCATCCGTTCCAAGACTTCTTAAGCAGGGCCGACGCATTTTTCCCCATTATCGTCATGATAATGCTCTTCCTCCTTGGCTATCCTTTTTTTCTGCAGCAAAACAGATACAGTGATATCCTCGTGAGCTTATCGTGGCCATCCTGCTCACGGATTGTCTGGATTACTCCTCTAGTATACTGAACTTTCACTTGTCCTCCCGAAGCCGATGAGAACATGACGGGTCGAATATTCACAGATCAGGCTCCTTCCAAATGATGCGTATCCATAGGAAACGAGACCGTTCTGGGAAACGAGTGAGCAGATACAGGCCCGTTTTCACGTTGATAGGGTGCCCAACTGTGATTTCTGAATTAGGGTTATCCACATGATTTCGCCTTCCGTGAGGGATCTTTTCGCTGAATGCTTCCCTCCTTGGCTCCGTTCGAAAGTCATTGCCAGCTACCACCTTTGACTTCGAGGACGCGGAAGACTTCCCCTCGTATCACCATCCAGCGACCATCTCGAGTGACGAGGTTGAAGTCGCCCCCCGCTCCGAGATTAGATATGCAGTACGGAGGACACACTGAGACGAGCTCGCTGTCGGACAAGTGAAATTCCGCCGCCGCGTCGTCGTTGTGACATCTAATTCCAAAGCGACCTTCGAGCATATTATGGGCCGCCGCCGCTGCTGCTGCTATCATCGGCGCATTTCACGTATACATGTGTTTCGTCATGAGTTCCAGGTCGGGCATGAGCACAGCCGCTTATGTTTCAACACCGAGAGCTTTTTCTTTGTGAATGGCTACTTTCAACAGAGCGGCTTCGAGTCGGACGCTGAAGATTAGGCGTCAACTTTCTCGGAAGTTAATCTCGAGAAATTCGAAAGAGCCCACGGAAGCTCTCAGAAGTTCCGAGGAGACATATTATGCGAGCCAGAAATCCTCTCCACAGCTCCGCCTCAGCACTCGAGTGGCTGCGACATTGGCTCTGGCCGGTGCCGCTATGACGTTAGCTTGAATAGTTAAGCGCCAACAGGGACAGCCGCGCTACTATTTGCTCTTAAGGGTAACGGCGGTTGGCGGCAGCATCGTCACAATAAAAAATGTACGACGCCGCTCCTCGCCCGCCAGATGCTCTGAAGCATAATTGAATCGAACTCGAATCAGTGTCCGTCGCCCAGAATTTCAGCGAGAATCATCGAAGGTGTCTTTTGATCAAGACCCGTTCCCGCTGACGTGATTCGCGGGATCATTTCTCAAAAGGATAACCCAGCTCTCGAGGAGATTCCTTTCTCCACCGTATGGACGGAATGGAGATGATTCCCGCGAATGCGAATTCTCGCACGATGCCGAATAATGACTCGTTCGTCCGTCGCTCGGCAGGACGACCGAAGCAGTTTCGCCAAACGAAGGTCGACTGACCCATCACCAGCTCCGTGCTAGTTAAGATTGGATATATGTACACGACCTGCTCGGCAGTGATAATGACGCCGACGACGACGTCAGCGACGACCACGATAGTGACTCCACATTTCCCCTGTCCTGTATTCTATCTTTGAGCGGCGAATACGATCCAAGGCGACTACCTCAGCGACGAATTGACGTGCTTATCTCTTCCTTGTCGGGAGAACCGTTGACACTGAACGACGGAACCAAAATAGGGAACAAAGCACGCGCAAACCTACAAGAAGTAGAGCAATATTCAGATAGGGGCATCGAGCCGCCGGAATCCTGCGCCCAGAGAAGGCGGCAGACCGAGTACTCGCCAGCTCCCCACGGGAAATCATCGACTGCTCATCAGTGTGCCGAAACTTGGATACGAGGAAGCCACCCATGAATTTATCAAATACAGCGAGGCATCCTGTTGCGATGGGTCACTCGACACCGGGACGGGAGCATTCCAAGCCATTGAAGCGTCAGAAAACCTAGAAGGTGCTTTCTCGCGCGCGATCACAATCATTATCGAATCATTCAATTCGAAGTGAAACGCGCGCCCGTGCACTCAGCGAGTGGGCCACAGACACGCACTGAGACGTTTTCGTTTTGACGTGACGCGTGACTCGTTCTCTTTTAGGAGCGCTATCTGTAGTAACGGTGATCGTTGAATTGACCAACAGAACGATGGCAATAGCAACCAAGGTTCAGTTGGATTCCGCGTGTGTCTGACTGAGTGAGCTGTTTGTAAGGATCGGCATCAGTGTGACTTGCAGAATCGTTCACCGGCCGGTTGTTCGGTCCGTCGGTCCGGGCACCGGGCACCGGTTGCCGGCGATCAAATGGCAAATGAGCCTCTCAAGCAGCCAGAGGAGCGCTCTTGTTGTTGTTGTGGATGTTCACTTTCACTCGACATCGCAGAGTCGTCATTGCTGTGTAACAGATATCCATCACCGTCTTGATCTTTTCCTTGAGCCAGAGATTTTAATGATCGCCCCATCGGTCCACCTACCGACCACTGTTGCCGCCGTCACCGGCTTGCCGCTGTCCGGCTGAGATGGTGGCTGCGGTTCGCTGCCGCCGCTACCGCCGCGTCTCGGTGGAATCTTTTCTCTCGTAGAAAAAAAACGCGTTGGAATAGAAGTGGTAGCAACAACAGCAGTGGCCACAGCTACAACATCAACGGCTCTTCGCGACACCTGCGAAAGTTCTCCACAAAAACCAACATGTTCGTGGTTGCCCAACGTTTGCCGAACTGACCGCGACGGAGACGACGGTGGCAGTGGTTACTACTACGAAGGCGAAGCAATCAGCTCCTCGATTTTTTTCCTCCATCAGACCTCCTGGAAAGAGGGCATTTTTTGCGCGCGCGATTTGTTCTCGTATCATATCTATCAAGCAGCGGTGCCTCGAATTTGTCCGCCCCGCGAGTTTTTTGCGAGCAGCCGAAGCCGATGGTCGTCGACAATCGTACGTTGAGGTTGAACTAGCGAGAGAGACCGAAAGCGTGATACCAACGCCACGCCGCGCCGTGAGACGACCGCCACACCGGAAGGAGCTCGTCTGAGTGAAATTATTTCCAGCAAAATAGAAGACACTGAATCACTGTACGTAGTCCTGTGGTTCTTTGAGTACGCTTAAGGATACTCAGATTCCATGTCGGTTGAAGAGACATATCCAAATACGGAAGAAACTCACCGACAAGGCTCTCGGAAGCCCACGAAACGTGCTCCAACTGCGTCATACTTGTTCGTTTCCCTCGGTATTTCTGTGGGATTCCAAGTGATCAGGAGTACGGTCGTAATCCTCGGCTCACGGTTAGCAGACGGAAGGACGGAGATTCTTCGTTCCGCCGTATTCAGTCGATCGGCCTCTCGGAACACATGAATCTATCACAGAGGTTTTGGGAACGTCGAACACAACCGATGAAAACAATGAGTTCGATCCGATGATTTCACTTCCCCGACCGCTTTCCGCACCGGCGCGAGTTCCAAAAAACACCGATCGGATCCGCGCGGGTGTACCGCAGCCCGCCGGCAGCACCTGTCCTTCACCGAGTCGAGCACTCGGGGCAGAGCTCGAGCAATACGGAGGAGTCCTTGCTCGCAATCGAGAAATCTTGCAGGTGGTGTACTTGTTGCAGGTATTCACGTAGTTTCACTGAAGTCTTGATCGGGTCCGACGACAGGATCCCGATCGCTCGGACGGACTCCACGCACGCAGAACCGAGAGCACAAACCGAGAGATCGAATCGCCCTCCGGAAGCAACCTGATGCTCCTGGAGCGATTGGGAGCGCACGGATTTTCAGCGCGTTTCTCTACGCGCCATGATGATAGAGTTCATCACTCGGAGGGAGACGGTCACCGCTGGTCTTCCCAGTACTGTTACTCTCGCTGCCGCCACTGATATCGAAACACATGAGCAATATCCGAGGTAAATAATTAACAACAACAACAACAACAACAATGAAGGATTTGATGACGGTGGCTGCCGAGCGCAGTCTGCCGTTGGTTGCTGCTGCAGTTGATGTAGCTGGCCAACGACTTGGAAGTAGTCTGGTAGTCTGTCGTTCTGAGCGAGCGAGTGAGCGAGTGAGTGAGTGAGTGAGCCAACGAACGAACGAACGGACGAACGAACGAACCAGCGAGCAAGCAGGCAGGCAAGCAAGCAAGCAGCGGCGGTAAACGAGTGGTGAGTGAGTGCGCGAGTGGGTGAGCGGCTAGACAGACACTGTTTTGGCTGGAGCGCTCGCGTCGACTTATTTGTAGTTCGGCATAGCGAACAAGTCTGCTTGTCTGCCTTCCGGCCAGCCTCCGAGCCAGCCAGGCAAGCAAGCAACGGGCCGGACGATGGCGATGGTGGTGGCGGCGGCGGCGCGCGGAGGAAACCCTCCTGTCTGAATCCAGGGGGAGCTGCTGCGTTTTGTGATAGGGGCGCCACTTGTCCACACGTACCCTTATATCCATCTTACCATACCGCCACCGGTCGCTCCACAACAATGGGGTCTGTCAGTCTCTTGACCTAGTAGTCGAGGAGCTATCCAATCACCGACGATTCTATGTACAGCGGAGTTGATTCACTTGCGTGAGAGGAGCTGGTCTCGCTCCCCTTACCCGAGATACGATCTCTCTGGAGTTCGTCCCGACTCTCCTTTCGGTCGACTCAGGGTCCCCGGATCGCTACAGAGAAAATCAATGACAGATAGAATCTATGATCGAATCGAAGACTCGATGATGCGCGATCACTCGGTTGAGGAGTGAAAAATCCATTCTCTCGGATTATCTGAATTCTATTGAGCCGTCCCATGCAAGTGACGGAAAGTTCGTTGAGAACGAACTGGGGAGGCTCTTCTCATCGGGGCTCAAGTTATCAGGCGCGGGCTCTTGTCTGGATAGTCTGTTGCGCTGGACTCCACGCAATCGAGGTCCTCTCGTCGATTCTCGAGAAGAGCCTCCTCGGACTCACTTCGACGGGAACGGACAAGATCTATTCCCCTCTGCAACCTCAGATTGGACAAGTCGAACATGGTACTCTCAAGTCCAAAGAAGCAAATATGACCGGAGCTTCACTCAAAATTCTCCGAGAATTTTCCAGTGGCTGGTATCCAAGCCGAATCGCTACGGAGGAGCTCGCGACGGTCTCCAACGGTGCTATGTCGGGAATTCGTGGCCCCAATCGATGCTCCCACAGTCGGAAAGGGAAGAGCGGGCAACGGGGAGTCGGAACACCCTCTTGACGTACCAGGAGCCCGGAGCACCTCGCGAGCAACTTGTCCACCTCAATCCGGGGGTTTGGATTTGGGTAGCCGGAGTTCTGATCACTCCCATGCTCCGAGCATGAACAGCCGACCCGAATTCGGATCGCCGACCGTGAATCTTCACCTCATCACTCATTCCGTGAGGATGTGCATCAACTCTGGAGCTGAAGATGCTATCAGCTCTGTAATGGTAGTCGAAACTTTGAGTCATCGATTCGGTTCTCCTGCAGACGAGAAGCATCTCGGGCGTAGCAGAAGCATGATATTTGAGGAAGATGCATGCTCCTCGAGTTCGGGCTCTGCATTGGTGAATCGTACTTTCATGTGTCAACGATCTTCTGAGAAATCGGTGATTAGTAGAGAATAATCCCCTCCTCCCCCTCGAGTGGGTACCTCGAATTCTCTCTGGTCGCTGTCTCGGTGGTGCCTCAGTTCACGGAGACCAAAGCTTCTGATTCGGGTTCTTCGGTCGGGGAAACGGATTCCGGGCTGCAGGCTGTGATATCCTGCAAACCCATTCATGACGCTTTATCGGATGAATCGTCAGTTCGCATGTTCTCCCTCCGTGAGCAAAGATAAGTCATGAACCTTGACGATGTTTAATTGCTCTGTAGCGGCGGTCGTTGGGGAATTCCTCTCACGGAAGTGAGTTTCTCATTTCTAGCTCTTATAGTTCCGCTCAAGTCTGAGTCTAGCGTAGGAACGATTAGAACGATAGCTAGAATATAATAATTCCTCTCGACATTAGTCTCAAACTTCTGCTTCAAACAGCCATCGAGCCGCTCGGACTACTCACAATTCTCAATCATAGGTAGCTCCGGGAAATCGTGAACGATCGCATTCCGGAAAAACGTCCGCATTCGAATGTTCCGATGTCTGCGGAGCTCTTCCAGGGTAATGGTATTTTTCCCTCGCAATGGATGCCATGCAAGAATTATGCTCATTATTTACTTCATGTTTTCCTCAAGGCCGCACCCAGATTCGATGCTTTCAAGGTGGGTTTCTGAGCGTATTCTTGTCACGACGCGCTTCGCCAGGGGATCCTCTTCTCCCGGTCGCTAACGGTCTCTGATTCGGCAGTCTGGCTTGGGGGCTTGGGCTCTGAGAGCTGATCTGGGAAGTCGAAGGTCTGGCCTCTTATATCGACGCCAGGAAGTTGGAGCGAGGTCTCACGATTGAATGAGAAATCGAAGTCCCAAGGTGAAGCTCCAGAGCGAGGTCTCAGAGTCGACTACGCATTCTTACACAAACATTTCGTGCATTCTCTGGTGTCTGATGAGGTCCTTCCAGAGTGTTCTATGCCAATACTGGTGAACGCCATTTGATCCCGTCGTAGAAAGCAGAACGCACGAATAGTAAGATTTTCGCGCTTTGTTCCCGTCGTATGTTTCCGTTCGACTAGAGAAGTCGTCGAACCTCATTCACCGTTCCTCCTATCATCTCCGGGTTCAGATTCATTCCGTTCCGAAGAAGGTGAGCATGCACCCCGGATGGAGTCACCGTTCTCGACCCATGAGCCTCCGATTTTGACTGATTGAGCTCGGAATGAACTCATCCGGAGTCGATCTCAGGGTGGTGGGCACATCCGAAGGAGTCCATTTTCCTGGATTTGGCAGTTGCTCAGATCGGACGGCGCTAGCGCCCCGGGACGGCCGGCTTCCGTTCGCCCTCTTCAACACATCGTTCTCGCCCCTTAGGGTCGTCATGCACCTTCGATTTCTTCAGGCATGAAGCTCATCTCTTCAGGTCTCGACGTTTCTGCCATGATCCGGGGAGGAATTGATCAGTGGGTCGCGAGGCCGATTTCTCCGAAATTGTGAGCGAGAGACATTTAACCCGGCAACAGATCGGGACGTATCTTATTCGCGGAAAAGCCTTCCTCGAGCGAATTGTGGCATTTGCGGGAGGATTCGAGGTCTCTCTCGCGTGCCAATGGGAATCTGCTCTTCCAGGCTACCTGCACAATATTCAGGTCTCGACTCTCTCCTCTATCCATTTTCCTCTCAGGCTCCGCCCTTCCCCGTGAATCGACTTTCTGGGGCATTCTCGGGAGCGATAATCCCTCTGTGATTCCTGGGACATGACCCTATAGGGGTAGGTCTGGAGTCACTCTTGAAAATGTTCGACATCGAGACCGTCGAATTTAACGAGGTCATCGCGCAGCGCCGACTATGCACATCGGGAAGGGCATAGCGAAGGGTTATTCACCCCGAATGAGGGTGCTAGCCACGATTGTATTAAGCTAAGGAGTCTGGCTTCCATCGCGAGACTTCGCGTTCACAATGGGCGAGGGCGGCTCCTCCAACTCTTCTCCGGTGTACAGAGGGGGCTTCGAAATTTTCAAATGTTGGTCTGCAGCCGGACCGGGGTGTAGGAAAAATTCCTTCCAGCTTGGAGTTTGAACAGAAATCTTCGATTCTGGCATGCCAGGCTCCTTCATCGTGCTACATGGGTAGAGCGTACGAGATCCACATCACATACTATTTCTCCTTGGTCAGGAGTCTGGGGAAAATCTCACGGTTCGAGAGGATAGGAGAGAAACGAGTGAGCTGATTTTTCTGCTATTGTCTATCGATTTCGCAATGGACTCCAGGGGTGGGGGGGGGTCCAGAGGGATCGCCTGGGAGGGTTCCTCGACGGGCACTGCAGAATATCTGCCGGAAATTCCTCGGCGGAAAATTGTATGTTTGTACCCATCCTGGAACGAGGCTAGGAAGACAGCGGTCATCAGGCTCGGAAAGGAGGAGTCACTATATCAGTGCTTGTTTAGAGATCTTCCGATCCGCGAGGTTTGGGTAGCTATGATGATCCCGTAAATGCTGCCTCGACGAGGAGCTTGATCATCCAGTCCTATCACAGATCTCCGTTACGGCTCGCGAAAGAGCGAGAGCAATCGGAGCATCTAGGGTGAGGAGTCGTCCCCGCGATGAAAGGGAAAATAGGCAGAATGTGGTCGGGGACCTGGCCATGGCGAAGGAAACCTGGGCGGGCCCCGCAAAAGCCAAGCTTCTCGGAAGCAGAATATCCACCGCTGAGAGCTAGATTGTCCACGAGCATAGGAGTCTCGCAATCCGAGACTGGAACTCCAGGCACGCTCCCCATCCCTCTTCCGATCTACATGGCTCCGAGTGAGATGCTCGCTGTTAGCACGATCCAGAAATCGGAGCGACAGGGAGGCGTACAGAAGGCCGTCGCTGAATTCTGCCCTGGGTGTTCATCGTCATAAATTGGAATGGAGGTTCTTCTCAGAAACCCGGCTCGGGGTCGTGGAGAGGGAAACCGGGTGAATACGGGGTATGCACCATCGATCCAACAGGAGTACACAGTCCGACTCGAGGTCGATGTCAACTGGCGATCGGGCAA